GCAGGATAGCTGTGAGAACTGAATGTGTCCTCTATAAACTACTCATGCGTCTTTTTTGCAGGCTAGTCCATAGTGTCACTATAAGTGTTATCATCAAATCATGAAATCCTTAGGTATAAGATCTAAGTACAACATTTCTTATCAAGAATTCCAAGAATTCTGAGATTATGAACATGAACTTTTGAGTGAGACACATCTATCTATATTTTAATCCTGGTTCTGCTACTTACTATCTTATTTTCATTTCACCTCTTTATATCTCATTTTCTTTATGAGAACAAAAATGCTTACATGGCAGAATTGTTGTCAGAAATAATAACAAAGTGGAACTCATTTGTGTTGGATATTTTACATGTGTCGTCCCATTGTCATATCTCCACAGCACCCTTTTGCGTTAGTACCATTATTATCTGCATTTCCTAAATAAGAGAACGCCCATCTAAGGTAAAGTGGTTATCTAAGAAGTTAAGTAACATGCCCAAATTATACAGCTAAGAATGGCAGAACTGGGACATAAACCCAGGTCTTCTCTGTCTTGGAAGACTGGCATATAATCCATATGCTATGTTGCCTACCCCATAAATTGAGTGAGACAATGAATATAAAATGCTTACTGCATTGTGTAACACCTAAAAAGCACTATTTTAGTAGGGTACCCAGGTATCTCACAGCCATATTGCACAGTCATGAGGATGAGCAGCTGCTTCACTCTTCCCTTACTAGACTTCCCCAGTTGGCAAGGGGCCACCACACGTTGAAATTCAGGAGGGGCAGGAGGGATAGGAGAGTTATTACATTATTCATGTCCAATTCTACTTGTCTAATGGACTTGTTAAAAGCACCCTGGATGGAAAGTGTGAGTCTTAATGGCATTTTATAAAAGTTGCTGTGATGAATTAGCACATAAAGCAAATTAAAAACAGCTTATCGCTTGTTAAATTAGGTGATGGGGCACTGTAGCATTTTTCCCAGATGTGAGGATCCATTAATATCCAAAGGAGCCAGAGGCTGCTGAAATGTGTCAGCTCCTTGGTTTTAGGGACCTGCCAAGTCTGAATAAATGTAATCCTAGAGGGGCAGATTGTCCAAGATCAATAGAGCTCATGGAAAGAACCTGTTGCTGAGCTCCTTAGGAAGGACACCTGCATCTAACAGCAGGCGTGGGAAAGTTCCCCTTAAGGACTCTCGGGAATAGAAGAGTACAGGCGAGTGAATGCCTGACCTGGTAGAAACCTCCAGGAATAGTCCCCACTCCCACTTCAAATGGGAATGCAGAGATGTGAGAGAAGAAGGGCTTTCAAAAGCCACCTGAAACATTTTCACACACCTGTATTGAGGATCTACTTTGGATCCGGCACCCTACTAGGTCCTGAGGATACAGAGATATTTTAGATGTCTTTATGCATAGTCCAGAAAACAGCTTTTAGGTGGCACAATTGGCACACAGACTCCCTGATTCAAATTATAATATGTTTTTCAGAATAACAGTTATTATAATAATATCTTACGTTTATTGAGCCCTCACTAGTGCCAGGCCAGTGTTACAATACTTTGCGTATATTATTTCATTTAATCCTCACCATAACTCTTTTGAGACAGATGGTGTTATTATTTATGCCAGTTTTACAGTTAAGAAAATCTGAGGCCCAGAGGGGTTAAGTAACTTGCCTAAGATCACATAGTTAAAAAATTGCAAACCTAGGCAGTCTGGCTCCAGAGCCTGCCTTCTTGGCTACTACTTGTCAGCCTTTCTGTTGGTTTCTCTACCTCAACTTCCCATAGTTTACATCCAGAAGGAGCCTAGAGTCAGGCCAGCAGTTCAAGGACTTTGGGGATAAGAAATACTTGGACAAGGACTGAGCAGTAAGGGAGTTTCAGGAATTTAGGGAAGAAGTGGTTATCAGCCCTGAAGGGAAGATTAAAAGTCTTTGGCACTGCTAGACTGTGAGCATGGCCAGAGGGCAACAAGCGAGGAAATTGAGCCATGTAATAAAATGGCCAAGAAAACAGAATTTGGAATCAGATACACCTCATTTTGTATTCAACCTCCACCACATGTGTTTGTGTGACCTGGGCCAGGCTCCTTAACTTCCTGAGCCTCCTTCCCTCATCTATAAAGTGGGGATACTAATTTTTACCTTTAGGGTTGCTGTGACATCAAATAAGACAATGACTACAAAGTTCCAGACCACCTAATAAGGGCGTAAGTAGTAGTAGCCATCATGGTTATCGTTTTCCACACCTTATCATCACCACCTCCCAGGTTGAATGAGGGGGCAAGGTGAAGAGCACTGAACTAGACTTGGATCTGGAGACCCAACATCTAGTCCTAAGTTGCTGCCACTGAGCTGTATATTCTGGACTTAGTCAGTGGGCCCCAGTAGATCTGTCCCTCATCTTTTAACAACAACAACAACAAAAGTTGGGAGGATAGTACTATGTCTGTCACACCTTCTTCACAGCAACTGATTGAGTCACAACAAGGTAACTTGTGTGAAAATGCTTTGCAATCTATAGAGCGTGTGTTGGGGTTCCCCAAGACCACTCCCAGGTTGATGACTCACTAGGATAGTTCACAGGACTCAGCATGATCATGCTCATGATTATGATTTATTACCGCAAAAAGATACCAAACAATGTCAGGTAAGGGAACAGGAGCAGAGGACAAAGTCTGGAAAAAATTAGCTGCAAGTTTCCGAGAGTACTCTCTCAGTGGTGTCACACAGGAAGTGCCTAATTCTTCCAGCAACAAATTGCAACAACAGGTGCAAAATGTCTACCAGGGAATCTTATTAGAGATTTAATGTCCAGGTTTACTGGGAGCTGGTCACGTAGGCAGCCTCTGCCTAGCACATACCATAATATCAGACTCCCAGAAAGAAAGCAGGTGTTCAGTATAAATGATATTGTTTGTACAAACAGTTTAGGCCCAGTAAGCCATTCTTATGAGAAAATGGTGGGAACCCTCCCAAAATCTAACTTCCCAGATGTCAGCCAAGGGCCACCCTTACAAGCAAGAACAGCAGTCTCAGGCCTGCTACGTTAACTCCTTTTTGCACAGAGTAGAATCTAAAGAAAAGGTTTGTATTAGCATCTACTCGGAACGAAAAAGGGAGATAATAAAAACATCAGTTCATGCTTACTATTTGTCATTGTGTGCCAGGTCCATTTGTCCACGCTTTATATGTATATTACCTTATGTAACATTTTACCCATACAGCACTCAGTAATGGAGGTATTGTTCTCATCATTGTCATCATTATCACTATGTTGTATATGAGGAAACTGAAGCCTAAAAGAGACTAAGTAACTTGCCCAGCTGACTAGCTGTAAGAGTAAGACATAGTAGGAGCAGGACATAGACCCAGTAGTCCATATTCATAACCACACTGTACTACACTAGACTGCACATACTATAGGCTTAGTGCTGCATATGTGTTATTTCATTAAGGATCACAGTAGTTCTAGGTGAGTGTTGTTATTAGACTAATTTTGCATCAAAAAACCTGTGGCTCAAGAATGTTAACTAATGTATGTCACATCACAGAATCAGAGAAGTGATAGCTTCAGGAGTGGGTGTTGGTCTTTCCACAGCTCCCCGTTCCTGACTGGGGCTTTGTCTGAGCCTTTGGCAGGGGTGGTCAAGGTGCAAATGATTCATTCCGGGAGCTTGGACCAGGAAACCCTCTCCAAATTCCATCTTTGGGAGACAGTGTTAATGAAAGAAGGGACTGTGTTGCAAGTAATTATACTTTTCCTGCTGTGTTTAAGAGCTATAGATGCTGTCTTCAGCTCTTTCTTGTTGTCATGGCAGCAGATGTGACATTTCTTTGATGGACAAAGAAAGAAGAAGAAAACCACACTTGGTCTTCAGTGTGGAAAAATCTAAAATAAAACAGATTTTTAGAAAAATCTGTTCCCCAGATCTTGCTAGTTTTGCATACATAGTAGTTATACTCTAAGGAAATTCTTAGAATGAAATCAAAGGGGAATACACAGACAGGTAGTGAAATCTGCTTCTCTGGGAAAGTCATATGCTGTATGTGTGTGGTGGTGATTTTTGAAAATGGGATATACAGCAGGATGTGTACAATACAGGAGTGGTGGCAAATGTTCACCTTTTAAAGATGACAGCTAGTTTCTAAGATCTTGTTCATCATTTTGATTCTGATTCCATCTCCTTCATGCTGCCATTCATACATATTACAGTGCATTGGCCTTAACAAATGCTTAGCAAATGCTTTTTAGTGAGGGCAGCATGATACAGAAAGCAAGAATTGTAATTCAGAGATAAGTGCCATGATGAGGTAAGCTCGGCATTATATGGAAGCAGAAAGATTTGTCGTGCTGTTAATATGACTTTTATCTAGCCATACCCATACATATGCATACATTTTTTAATTTACTGCATTTTATGCATGTATTCAGGTGATTGCATTAACCTCTTCATCCAGTTGCAGTGGTGGTCCAATATTTCATTGAGTAGAGGGATCACCTACTCAATGGGTGGACCTTTGTTACTGTTTTTTCCCATTACGAAAGAAACAGTTCTACAGGCTGATACAGCTGAGATTATTTGTTTACAGTACGAAATGCTTCATTTAGAAGGATAGCCATATTTCTCTTTATTATTTTACTTTTTTTAGTAATTTTAAAAATTTGATTGTAATGCGAGGGGAAAAAAATCTCAATTAGGTAGTAAACTGCCTTTCTCATCTTCTATTATCACCTTCTAACATCTGATGATCTCCAAGAAAAGAAGCAGATCTCAGTTTTGAGGATCTGTGGGCTGCCCCTGTAACCTCCAAGAAGAAGCAAGAGCTAACTTTAGTGTGTTGCCAAAGCAGTGAGAGTGTGGACTGTGACCCAGGGAATCATCCCGGGAGTTGATACCATGTGATGATGGGTTCTCAGAGCAAGAGTGAACATTTGAAACCACAACTCCTAAATCTGTGCTGACAGAGATTCCTAACAGTGTCCTCTTTTGTCCTTTCCTCCAGAGCCATGTTTGACTATGACAAGAGCAAGGACAGTGGGCTTCCAAGTCAAGGACTTAGTTTTAAATATGGAGATATTCTCCACGTTATCAATGCCTCTGATGACGAGTGGTGGCAAGCCAGGAGAGTCATGCTGGAGGGAGACAGTGAGGAGATGGGGGTCATCCCCAGCAAACGGAGGTAAGAATGCCTTTTGTAGCAGAATATTTGCTTTTCAGCTATCCAGGGAGTGGAGATGAGGGAAGAAGAAGGTGGGAGAAACTGTTCACAAAATTAAATTTATTTAAATGGGATAGTCAATCTGCAGGAAAATTGTCAGTGGTGACAGGTGACATGAATTAAAAATCCTCTTTCTCCTATATTAGGGTTTTACCAAAATTGGTGACTGTAATAAGAAATAAAGGAAGAAAGAGAATCGGCTTACACTGTGTTCCTAAAACTTTTACCAGAGTGTGCATGTGCAAACTTGTGCTTATCAGCTTATATGCTGACTTACAAATTCAGCCCATTTTTTTCCAGAGTTTCAACATTTACCAATGAATTTTATAGAAAGGTCAAGTTGAAGGCAAATGAAGTAGGCAATTTACTAGGCTAAGGTCCTGGCTATGTAATATCTACAAATATTGGTGGAAAAAAAATGGAAAACCTTCATCTCAAATTCAGATGCTTGGGATATGAGCTGTCAAACATCTGGTGAGGTCTAAGTACTGACTGGGTTTACAATTTTTTTTTCTTTTTTTTACTGTTTTCTTTACTCTTGTTTCCCACCTCACAACTTCCAATAGCTACCTAGATATTTAGTTCTATGTAAGTGTTTCCTAAATCAAGAGCATCATGCTTTCTCTTCCAAGCGTTTCTTCAGCTCTACTTTTGAAAAGCAGAAATGTGCTTCAGAACAGCCAACTCCTTAATCTGTCCCAGCGGATCTATCACCAGACAGGAACTTTCCTTCTCACAAATGTCCCTTTGGCACCAAGATATCCAAGAAACAGAAATTGGCTCTGTCCCAGAGACTAGATATAGTACAAAATCAGTCAGGAATGATGCTTAATAAAAGCAGGCACTAATTTTTCTCAAGCTGCAGATTTCTCAAAGGGCTTTGATCCTCATCTCCAAACACCCCAAATGCCTCTGTAAAATATTCCCAGTGAAGCTGGGCCTTTAAGTGCTACTACACATCAAGTGATTGGGCTAGTACAAACCATAGTGGGAAGATGGAATTTAAACCTCAGAATAACTCTATGGGATATTTGTGCTCCCGAGACAGCTGATCTCTTCTCTCTGCCTGTGGTCATACAGCCTGGGGAAGAATGTGACATGGAAAGCAGAGGGCTCACTGGTCCTCAGCTGTTCTCTTACCTTTAGCCAGGAGGAGTCACAGTGAAGGAGCTGAAATTCCAGGGAGCCTCTCCCTCCCGTATGCCAGTGCCTATAGATCTCCCACCAGCAGAATTCTCTGTGTTTCTTTAAGCCTCTTGGCTCCTGGATAATTGCTTGACATTGCTTTGCCAGGGCATTCTGACTGTAGAATGGCTGTGTGTGTTTTCCGAAAGGTTATATGTTTAAACATTGACTCAGCACTGGCTTGTTTATATTCTGGGTCTCTCCATTTCCATTTACTTCAAATAAAAAAAAAGTCAAGACAAAGTACCTTTTGGTTTGCTTTGATTTAATTATTTTGAGCTGTCTGAAGAGCTGTTCTCTAGAAGAAGGAGCCATCTTGTTGAATTATGGCCCCAAAGATAGTAATGGGGTGGATAAAGGAAAGCTATGTGGGAATAGATGTCAGCTCATTTTAAAGAAGTCCTTTCATTAGTTGGAGCTGCCTAAAGATGGCATGGACTATCTGGGAAGATAGAAAAGGAATTCAAACTTTGGATACAGGAGTTGAACTATACAATTTTCTGGTTCTTTCCAGCCCTGAAGTTCTATGATTCTAACCAATCTTATCAAGTCATTTGTTTGTTCAATTAGCGCATCATTTTTCTCCAGAAGAACATTCTCAATGCTATTCCTCCTGAAATAATTTTCCACCTGCTGGTAATCATTCTTGAATTAGCTATTTCTCTCTTATTTTGGAAGAGAACCATCTTAACAACCAGAGTATAGCTGACCTGGAAAATAAGTTTAATTAGTGACTGCAATGTTGATATTTATTTACATTCTACTTTTTATAAAGGGTACAGTAGCTCCACCTCATATATATAATATATATTATGTAATATATATATTTATATAATTTATAGCTGTAAATAAATTTCTGCCAAATTTTCTTTTTAGGATTTTAATTATTTTCAAAATAGTAACTTTTATTGCTTTAAGTATTTGTAAAAGTAATACCTTTTATTGTAGAAAGGTGGGAACATCTAGAAAAACATAAAGAAAATAAAAATCACTTATAATTCTACCCCACAAAGAGTACTCATGTACTTATTGTAATGCAATTTAAAACCTACATTTATTAGGTTGATGTTATTTTTCAATTGTTAATTTCTTTCTAGCCTGTTTCCTGAGTATAATTTACCTAGTAGTGCTCATCTGGAAAATTTTTTAAATCTCATAATGGATAACATCAGTGTATGACTTTATGCCATTTACAAAAATGTTTCTCTATTGATAATGTCATTTAATCATCCCAAATGAAACCATGAGATGAAAAGTATGAATATTATCACCTTCCCCCTCCTTTTTTCTGAAGATGGTGAATAAATTTTATTTAACAAAACATTCCTATTGCGTGCTAGACACTGTTGTAAGCCCTTTACAATTATTAACTTATTTAAACCTCATTAGAACCCTATGAGTAAGTTGCTATTATTATCCTTATTTTACAAATGAGGAGATTGAGGCACAGAGAGGTTCATTAATGTGCCTGAAATTGCCCGTGTAGTAAGTGGTAGAACGGGAATTTGAATCCAGGCTACAGAATTGCACTTAAGACATATGCAATCTTGCCCCGCAAAGGTACAAAAATAGGAGCTGGCAAAATTCAATTCAGCAAGCATTGCTTGGGCAGCATCTGAGTGCCATGTACTGGAGCCCATCACTTGTGGCTCCACTGCCTGGAGCCCATCACTTGTAGGACCAACATGTAACTATGGCACAGCTACTCTGTGATTAGGGCAATGCGGGCTGTCTTGTAAAGGCCAGGAAAGTGAAATGGCAGCAGACAGAGAGTGAATTCCATCTGATGTCAGCACTGATTATGTATTGCACCAGTTACTTTCAAATACATGATTTCAACTTAATCTTCACGAAAACCTCACAAGGAAACTGAGGATCAGAGAAGTCAAGTAACTTACCCAAAAATACACAGCCAGCCACTGACCAAACACCAGTCTCTTTGATAACAAAGCCAGATGACTTTACACTACACCAGGAACACTACCCTAGGAGCATATGCCAAGTAAGGAAATAGAAAGTCAGGCAATTTAAGTAGCCTGCCAAAATTACAGTGGCAGCAGGGGGCTAAGCCTGGATTCAAACACATGCCTTTATGATGTCTCTATGAGCAATTGCAAAGGTTTGGGGCTCTTCTTGGCCCTTCAGCTCTGAAGTCTGGTGGCCCACATTTCAGGGTCTCTTAAGAGGGAAAATTGGAAGTCCATGTCTTGCTCCCACCTGGCATAAAGGGACTGACTTTGGCAGCGAGCACCTGAAATGGGGTACCTGTATTACTTCCTTTTTACAGGTAAGGAAATTGGGACCAGTAATGAGAAGTGACATCATGGGCAGCATTATCATAATCATCTTAGTAGCAGCCTATTGTATAGTGAGTTCTTACTATAGATCAGACATTGTGCAAAACAATTTTCTTATATTGTCTCATTTAACATTCATTATAAATTTTTGAAGTCTGCACTACTATTCTAATTGTATCAACACAAAATCTGAAATCCTAAGAGGTTGAGGACCACCCTAAGTTATAGACCTGGTAAGTGGAAGAGGCAGAATTCAAACCCAGACTTGTGTGACTTTAAAATCTGGACTCTTAGCATAGAATCACTTTTCTGAGATTACATAGTGTGTAAGAGGCCAAGCTGGGTTTTGTTCCACGGTCTTTCTCCTTTTTTTTTTTTTTTTTTTTGAGACGGAGTACAATACAATCCCAGCTCACTGCAACCTCCACCTCCTGGGTTCAAGCTATTCTCCTGCCTCAGCCTCCTGAGTAGCTGGGATTACAGGCACCCGCCACCATACCCGGCTAATTTTTGTACTTTTAGGAGAGACGAGATTTCGCTATATTGACCAGGCTGGTCTCAAACTCTTGACCTCTGGTGTTCCGCCCACCTCAGCCTCCCAAAATGCTGGAATTATAGGCATAAGCCACTGCTCCCAGCTGTCCCACGGTCTCTTAAGCCAAGTGTCTATTCATTGTTCCCCAGTGATGGGTCACTTGGGCTCTCAGATGGCAGCTTATGGCTGGCATTACATAAGAGTTTACTCACCTAGCCTTCCCAGCAAGCCTGTGGCCACTAATGTAAGTGACATTCTAATTCTCCCTCCAACAGGGCCTGTGGAGCACAGGGAAAGGAACTCCCAGGGACAAATGATGTTCCCACTGTCCAGTGCTCCAAGCCTGACCCAATTATGGGTTTGGCCAGAACCTAAAAATACCAGATGGGAGAGAGGGAGAGGGAGACAGTTGGGCTTATTAAAACATGGCCATTTGGTGCTCTCTGGAGATATGAAATGTCAGAATCGATTGCTCAAATTTTACCATTCCATTTATGTTTTCGGTATTTTGGTCAGTGATGAGATTTGGACAGGGAGGATTATTTCTGCTCAAACAATCTAATTAATTGCTTGAGTCTAAGTGTGAGTAGGGAAGTAAGGCAGTTGTCCTCATTGAGATTTGATCTGTCTCTTCAGGTGGTCCACAATTTCTTTAGGTGAAAGCCTTTGGACCTTAATATTTATTAGCCAAAGGAGTCTTACTCAGTAAAACAATAAGAGAAAATGATACTGAATTTTTACCTAGATTCTTACCAAGAAAGTAAGTTGTGAAATGACGAATCACTTTTTATGGGAAAAACTGGTTGTTCAGCAATTCACTTAAACTCCCTGGCCTAATGGTTTTCACAATTAGGTAAAGAACTAGTAGCCCCCTTGAGAGTTCATTTATTCACTCATTCAACAAAGGCTCATTAAGCAACTACTACGTACCCAGCTCATGTCGGACCCTGGATTATAGATATTATAGGTGAAGTCCTTAGCACAGTTTCTAACACTTAGTGTACATTCCAATAATAGCTGCTTTCCATTTTTCAAAATTTGAGCTTTTGTTGCCAGAAAAAAAATACGTCACATTATTTAGAGCCCTATTTTCCAGACTTAAGTCTCATTTCAGCAGCAAACCATTCACATGCATCCCAGAAAGAGCTAGAAGAGAGGAAAGGGCTGAGGCAGATGAGGAAGATAAGCCACAGACATAGCCTCCCTCTTAAGGAAAGAGGTTTGCAGAGAACCCCAAGGCAGTAATGCAAGCCTCTGTGATGGGAATGCACTACTAGGGTTGCTGGTGTGCTGAGGAGACGGATCAACTCAAATAGGGATTTAACTAAGCAGACTTCTGTGTTTAAAGTAAATTTGTTCTGAATTTTGAGGTCAACCTCTTGTGGTATGCTACTAACTCAATGATTGTATGCTTAAATTTGGTTGGGGCTTATTTAATAATTAATAATATTCATAGCATTCAGGACATTAGGGAGATGGGGATGCAAGGGTATGTTGGTTATCATTTGTAAAAACCTCAGCCCAGACTTCTAAGGATATGTATGTGCCTTCAAACTGTGAAAGCTGCATCCAAAAATCTCACGTTTATTGAGAATTTGGATCATCCAGGTTTGGGAGGTACCTGAATGCTGTCTCCCAAATTGAGTGGCTATGGACAGACACTGAAGTTAGCTGTTAGAGAATGTATGTTCAGGCTGTGTTTCTACCACTTTCTGATCTGGTAAGCTTCAAGTCTCAGTTTCTTCAGTTATAAAATGAGATTGATAATACCTAAATCATTAGGTTGTTGTGGGGACCAAATGAGATGATGTAAATGCAAAGGAACTTTATTAATAATTATATGGTACAACTCCACTTATTAATGAAACTTTCAACCCAAATCGGAAGCAAAACTTTTCAACTTCCTTCATGAGTGACCCGGAAGTATGTGACCTCCGTATGGCTTCAATTTTTTTTTTTTTTTTACTTTCTCTATTACCTGTTTGAAGATTAATAATAAACTATAGAAAATGGTAGGTGAGTGTATGTGTGTGTGTGCATTTGTGTGTGTCTGTGTGTGTGTGTCTGGCTGACTTAATATTCTTTGCAACCTTTTTAAGATTTAAGGGATGAACCACTAAAATCTTCCTAATAGAGACATTTCTCAAGAAAATTGAAAAGGATAAACATGGAAATGGAGTTGAGCTTCAGGGTAGGGGACAGTATTAGAATGCTCTGTCTAAGCAGTTCTGAGAGTTGAATACTGAGCTCCTCCTAACATTATGTATGTTTGGAACCTGTGTGAGTTCTGTGGGTTTATGCAGAATTTATTTGCACACCCTGATCAAATAACCATGTATTCTCTGCATACTACAGTCATTTTGGCATCACTGAATGATGCCAAAGCATTGACTTTAGCCCAGTTAATGCAAAGAAGCCGGAATAAAGTTAGGGCACTAACAACAGTTTTAGAAGACTACAAAGAGACGAATGTAAATTACATTTGCACTCGGATTAAAATCGAGAAAAGGTGATGAAGTGATGAAGCTCAAAGGAGGCATTTTACCAGTGACCATTTTCCACTTGGCAGCTTATCTTATCTGAAATCTATCTTGCTTTCTCCCCAACGGTTGTGCATCTGGTGCAAGTAGAAACTCCTGGTGGAACACATTGTTTTACTTCTTATTTATTTATTTATTTATATTTATTTTTGGGGGAGACAAAGTCTCGCTCTGTCGCCCAGGCTAGAGTACAATGGCATGATCTAGGCTCACTGCAGCCTCCACCTCCCGGGTTCAAGTGACTCTCCTGCCTCAGCCTCCCACATAGCTGGGATTACAGGTGTCCGCCAACACACCCAGCTAATTTTTTTTTTTGTATTTTTAGTGGAGACAGGGTTTCACCATGTTGGCCAGGCTGGTCTCGAACTCTTGACCTCAGGTGATCCACACCCGCCTCAGCCTCCCAATGTGCTGGGATTACAGGCGTGAGCCACCGCACCCGGCCTCACATCGTTTTAACATATGACGTTAGATTTGAAAAATTTGGTTCAGCTGTTTCCACTCAGATATTCTACTCTCACACTGAAATAAATACATTCTGCAATTCCATTCTGTAACTATAGAAACCCTGATCTTCACTGTGTTTCAGTTGGGAACACAAAAGAGCTCTCAGTTAGAAAGGAGTATGCTGTTAATTATTGATCTATGAATAGCTTAGACTTTATAAACCATTAAGTTTCTGTAGGTTCAGGTTTTTTCTTTCTCTTTTTCCCCCACATCTTTGAATTTAAAGCTAGAAATATTTAAACAAGAAGTCATGTTAAAACAATGCAATGAATATTATTTTTGCTGGACAATTATTTATTGAGGACTTGCTATAAAACACCATCAAGTGATAAGTGGGCTTGTACCTTAAGGTACATACAACCCTGTATATGCAGTGCAAATGTAAGTAAACACAAGGAAATCAAGATGTAATGCTGACATGGAGACTGTTCCAGTCAGAAAGGGGCAATCATGTCTAACTGGAGGGGCTCAGAAGAATCAGGGAAATATTTAGATTATTTTCCTCTTTTTCAACCCTGGCCTTCAAACAGGAAAGAGTCCAACCAGTTTTATTTTCCTAATATTTCTCAAGCCTTTCCCTCTTCTCCACCCCACTATCATTTCTCATTATTTCTTGCCTGGACTATGGCAACAGCTTTTAAATAGGCCCCCAACCTCCTCCTGCTCCTTCCCTCCTTCAGTCTATCTTCCACCTTGACCAGGGTTGTTTATTTAAAAGCTGATCTGACTTTATCACTTCGCTGCTTTATATCCTCTAAGAACTTACGATGATTCCCAAGGAAAAAACTCAAGTCCAAAATGTGGATGGATACCCTTTAAAAGGAGTCTGTCACCTCGCTAGCCTCACCGCCCCATCCTATATATCCCCTATGTACCCTGTACTAGAATCTTTCTGCAATCTTGTAGCTCACTCATATCTTCAGGTTGAGGCATGTGTTGTTCCTGCTGTGAAAAATCCCCCTGAAATTTCCCTACTGACAAACTCTTTCTAATCCTTCAGTCTCAGATAAATTGACATTTCCTCCAGGAAGCCCACCCTAATGCTTTCTAGTCTTCCTTTGTACCCTCCCAGTGAGATATGTGCTCCCACATTGATATCAGGCATCTTGTTCTACAGCATTTTCTGTGCTTGTTTACACCACTGTTCTTGCCAAAAGAACATTGCTAAGAATTCATTGCAGTCATGCTTTTAGAATATTTTTTCTTTGTTCCCCAACTCCTTGCTTGATGCATGGAAGGCAGTGATTAAGTGTTTAATGAATAAACGAAGTAGCAGGAAAACAATGAATCTGCAGAGATGACAGAAGGACATTGGGGAAAAGGAAAGTTCAAGATTATATATAACATGTTTGGTTAAAAATTGAAGCTAAATACACTAGTGTCCTTAAGGGGAAGAGAAGGAAAAACAAAGAAGAAAAGGGGAGGAGAGAAAAGGAGAGGGGAGGAAACACTTGTTTAGTCTCCAATATAGGTGTTCATCTTTATGGACTGAGATTTCTTGAAACAGATTTTGATTTAATTATTTAAGCATTTAAATAACAAATATTATTTTTTTCTACCTCTCTGTTGCTTACAAATACCATGATGTGACTCTCAGTGTATGTATTGGAGTAATTTCAAGGGATGTGTTAGAAACTTAGAGACTTTGTACCAAGATTTTTTATATGGAACAAAGAAAGAGAAATATTTTAGAACACATTTTATTCGAGCTGCAAGGATTGGAGGAAAAAAATGTTCTTCACTTACTAAGGAACTTAGTCATAAATGCCTTGTCATGTGACAGACTCTTTATTGTCAATTTGCTTTAGGGTGGAAAGAAAGGAACGTGCCCGATTGAAGACAGTGAAGTTTAATGCCAAACCTGGAGTGATTGATTCGAAAGGGGTAGGTACAAAATGATGGAAACATCAAGTTCTCTCAGTTGCCATGGATTTAACTATAATTAACACATTTAGGCTTTCAGTAGCAAACAAATTATGAAGCTACCAGACAGTAGAGCACTGTTATAAGTATATTGCTGAAGTTAATAATATCATTTCTGATGAAATGGATTTATGGTAAATATATTTAAACACTGGGAGTAAAGCTGCAAGTGGTTAGCAGAAGCAATGTGTTGATGAAGGTGATGTAATGACTACAATGAAGAAGAACAAGATAGTTTAGGTGGTTTTTGTTTCTTTAAGTTTTTTCCTTTTAAATTAATGTGCTAAAAGGATGGATTTTATAAAAAGTATCTGCTCATCAGAAAATATATCTAGTCTGATTCACATTATGGAGCTAAGACTGTAGTCATAGAAACATGGATTATCTAATGAATACATGGATTGTTGTGACAGACATAGAAGAGAATTAATAACTAAAATTTAGCCATCAAAATTAGAATATTTAATCACATATGCATATGTACATCTTTTTAAAATAATAGCTTTGTAAGATAAAATTTGCATACAATGTAATTTACCCACTTAAAAAATACAATCCAGTGGTTTTTAGTGTATTTAGAATTATGCAACCATCACTACAATCAATTTTAGAGCATTTCATCACTCCATAAAGAAAACCTATATGCATTGACAGTCACCTCCCATTTCCCCATCCTCCCACCCCCACCCACCCCAACATAGGCAACCACTAATCTACTTTTTGTCCCTATGGATTTTCCTATTTTATATAAGTGAAATTATATACCATGTGGTCTTTTGTGGTTGTTTTTTTTTTAACTTACATTATGTTTTCAAGATGCATTTGTGTTGTAGAACGTGTAAGTACTTCATTTCTTCTTATTGCCAAATAATATTCCATTGTATGGATATGCCACATTTAATCTGTTCATTTATCAGTTGATGGACATTTAAGTTGTTTCCAATTTGTAGTTGTTATGGATAATGCTGCTATGAACATTTGTGTACAAACATTTCTGTGACATGTTTTTATTTCCATATGCCTAGGAGTGAGATTGTTGGATCATATAGTAACTCTATGCTTAACATTTTGAGGAACTGACAGGCTGTTTTCCAAAGTGGTTGCACCATTTTACATTTCCACAACAATGTATGAGGGTCCCAATTTCTCCACATCCTTGTTATTATATGTCTTTCTGATTACAGCCATCTTAGTTGGTATGAAGTGTTATCTCATTGGGGTTTTGATTTCATTTCCTTAATGACTGCTGATATTGAGCATATTTTCATGTGCTTATTGGCTATTTGTATATATTATTTAGAGAAATGTTTATTGAGATCCTTTGCCCATTTTTAAATTGGGTTGTCTTGTTATTGTTGAGTTGTAGAAGTTCTTTATATAGTTGGGTTATTAATCCTTTATGAGATAAATGCTTTACAATATTTTCTCCCACTCTGTGGGTTGTCTTTTCATTTTCTTGATAGTGTTCTTTGTACACAAAAGGATCTAATTTTGGTGAAGTCCAATGTGTGTATTTTTTCTTTTGTTATTTTTGCTTTTGGTGTCATATCTAAGAAACCATTACCTAATGAAAGTCATAAAGATTTACATCATATTTTCTTCAATGAGTTTTATAATTTTAGCTCTTACATTTAGGTGTTTGATCCACGTTGAGTTAGTATTTGTACGTTGCATGAGTTAAGGTTCTGATTTCATTCTTTTGCATATGAATTGTCTTCTTAATTTCATTTTTGGATTCTTCATTGCAAATGTACAGAAATATGATTATTTATATATATATCAATCTTATATCCCACAAACTTGCTACAGCCACAGTTTTTTAGTGAATTCCTCAGGGTTTTCTATATACAACATATACGTGCAAAAAGAGAGAGTTTTGCTTCTTTCCTTCAAATACAGATGCCTTTTTTCCTTGCTTAATTGCACCATCTAGAACCTTCAGTATAATGTTAGAAATGGCAAAAGCAGACATTTTTGTCTTATTCCTGACATTAACAGAACTGCATTCGGTCTTTCACCATGAATTATGATGTTAGCTGTGGCTCGTACACCTTTTTAAATCAATTCTTTGAAGAGATAATACTAGTATCTTATTGCTGTGTTGTAAAATAACTTTCCCCATCTTCTCGCTTCCTATTCTCTTTTTCTTCATATCCTTTTCTTTGCCTTTCTATCCTAACAATTGTAGCTTATGAATATCATACAGAATCACAAATTATGGTCAATTGCTGTCACCATGAAAAACAAGAAAAAGAAAAGCTATCATTTCTCGGGGATTTTGAGGCCCGAATTATAGCACTGCCCTTTCTATTTCTAAGTAGAAGAATCATAAGGGAGCCCAGTCATTGACATAATAATTTACCCTCCTGTAAAATATTCAAGTGAAATGAAAATTTATTGAAACATAGGATGTCATTATAAGTAAAAGTGAGGGTATGTGACATCATGACATAAAGTCCTTTCAAACAAATACTACTTGTATACAAGAGGTAGAATTTTTTTCCATGATTCCTGGCGAGAAATTAAGGATAGACCTCCTATTTGTTTGAGATAGATAGATGACAGATAGATAAATAGATAGGTAGATAGGTAGATAGATAGATAGATAATAGATAGATAGATAGATAGATAGATAGACAGACAGACAGAGAGAGTTGGCTACATGTGAGAGGATTTTTATTGAATACCTACCATGTGCCAGAAACAGGACTAGAACTTTAGAAGGACACAAAGTCTAGTATAGGCCCTTTTCCCCAAGAGCTCCTAACATCAGTGAGAGGCCAGATGTCTTTTCAGTAAGGCTGAAACATATATGATGTGCTTTTTAATCATACATGTTAAACACCATTAGGTATTTGCCAAAGAATAGATTGTAAATTATTAGAACTTGGCTATTGAAAGAAAGGAGTAATCATCTGGGAAGGGAAGCCCTGAATGGAAAATCAGGAGGGTCAATAACCTGGGTTCTGGTTTCAGCTCACTACTAAGTCACTATTGTTCTTTGGCCCTTATTAGCAAAATAAAACCTTTAAACTACGTCAGGGATGTCAAACAAGTTTCATCTCCTAAGTACACTAATGGATTGATAGTTTATATCTAGAGTATTGTTTTGAAAAAGGATTCTGAGGCCATATATGATCTTAGAAGGAAAAAAGAATGCCATGATTGAGTCATCTCTAGCACAACATTGGGAATTATTCTCTATTTGCAGTTGCTGGATTCGATGATTTTTTAGGGTATCTTACGTTAGTAACTCTCCATGAGATTTACTCATGCACTAATTGGTAATAAATCAAAGTTTTCCAAATTCCTATGAGAAAATACATTAATAAGAAGACTTGTCCAGAAGTAGAAAGCAAAGGACCACTAACACGAGATAAAATGCACTGAGGAAAGGAGAGAACAACTATGTGGAGAGTTGGGAAAGCTCGGTCAGGAGATGCCACTCACTTTGAACTAAAGGCAAGGACTACAGTAATAAGTCATTGATGCAGAAGCCTCATTCTCTGGGACCTTGGAATAAATTCAGCATAAAGTGGGGAGGAAAATTGTCTGGAATGAGAAGGATAATAGGGTGTTTTAAATAACCTTATCATTAGCTGGCATTTTCAGAGCATTGTGAAATGTCCTGAGGAGCCCAGAGTGAAAGCCAAGGTTACTCCCCTGGAGGAGCTTAGATTAAATTAGTGTCTGTGAAAGCAGGCTGTGACAAGAGCCTTAGTAGTATGTACACGAGCTATAAGAATTTAAATTAATCGTCACAGGAATGACCAGAGAGCACTTTATAGATGAACTTGGACTTTAATGTGACTGTCAGTGCTTGAGTTACTTTTCCAGAACTCTTCATTGATTGCAATAACATTGAATGCTGCAAAACACCAGGCACTATGCTAGGTATCTTCTATTGTGGCAAAAAAAAAAAAAAAAAAAAATATATATATATATATATATATACATATATATATATATGATCTTTCATCGCAACAGGCTCGAAAAGAGAAATATAAGCAGTCAAGCAATAATAATACAGCATCACTAATGTTTTCCATAAATTTAGGGGATCAACAGTCTTTATTTTAAAAATCAGGAGCCTGAGCCTCAGGAAGATTAACTAGCTTGCCTAAGATCACACAGTTAGTAGGTGCAAGCATCAGGTTGAGATCATTTTGACAACAGAAGCCTGCCCTTTCCATTACTCCACACTATACCTGATTTTGTTGAAGCCAGAGGAAGTACAGCATTACAAATATGCCTTAGGTAAAAGAGAAGGCTTCAAAGAGGCAATATTTGAACAAGATCTTAGATTTTCAGTAGGAGTTTGCCACATACATAGGAAAAAGCATGAACATGATAGTGGAAATTGCAGACATGTTAGAATAGGGTTAAGCAAGTCAAGGACAGCAGTGTGCAAAGGTCATGATGGGAGTTGTAGCAAATGGGGTTGACAAAGAAGGTCAGAAAGGCCAGAAAGCTTGTATGGAAGGCCTGGCTATGAGGTTAGAAGCTTATTGGATTTTGAAAGTATACATGAAGGATCTGAGGTTCTTCATTTGAAAGTGCTCATCTGCTACAAATGAAATACCCAGGATTTCTATCCACTCTGTGTGCCTTTAAAAAGTCTATGTCTATACATGCAAAGAAAAGTGGACTATTGTGTCAGTAGCCTAGATAAATCCAACCTATGCAGACCCCTTCAAAAACTTCAAACAGCCATCTATTTGGATAGGTCTCCCTAAGACCCATCTCAATGCCCCAGATAGCAATGCAATCAAGCTCCCCTGGGAATGTCTATTAAGTTCCTAATGAGTCTCTAGTCAAACCAGCCTCTAGTGAAAACTTAAACATCCCTTAATTTCTTTTATTGTCCTTCTACCTTTTTTTAAAATCAATTTCATCATTAACCAGCCATTCTGTTACTTATTGAGAGGTTTAGGAAATTGCATAACCTTCAGAATAAAGCT